AAAGCAGATCGGTTTAAAAATACGTTTTGAAGAAATAATGTGTGAGATGATTATCCAAACGGTGACTTTAAATGATTGGCACTTCTGTCGTTTAAGCACAAAACGTGTGTTTAAACTAATTGGCATGTGAAACTCACCTTAACCTTCGGCAAATTAAGCTTCTCATGCATTAACAGTAATTTTATATTGTCTTGATATTAGGATATGCATCAAACGGTTCATTCACCCATGGACACCAATCTGATGGAGATTCTACAAATACAACAGTGAGTTTGGTTGCTTTATTTTGTCTTTGTAATAGATTTTATTTGCCTACCTAATTCTCTCTTATTCTTCCCTTTTCTCATTTGTCTTGGCTCTTGGTTGCGGGGAATGGATGTGTGTAAAGATTTTCATTGGAGGGCTCGATCCCAATGTTACTGATGAAGATCTTAGGCAGCTCTTTTCTCAGCATGGTGACATAGTATCTGTTAAGATACCAGTTGGTAAAGGTTGTGGTTTTATTCAATTTGCGAACAGGTAAACTTTACAAGTTAACAGCTTCACAGCTACAAGTCGTTTGATCGTATACGAAGAGTAGTTTTTTATTTCCTTCGTCTATTTGAATTACTCAACTATCCTTTAATTCTGCTTGTGTAGAAAGAATGCTGAAGAGGCTTTGCAGAAATTAAATGGAGCTGTGATTGGCAAGCAAACAGTGCGTCTTTCTTGGGGACGAAGTCCAGCAAATAAGCAGGTATTTCTCTTTTGTGTAGAAAATATACAACTACCTCATTTTCCAGGTTAGGAGATGGCTTCTGGATAACTGCCTTTTTTTTCCCCGCAAAACACATCTCTGCCGTCTTCTGGCGAATCTATTTACTTACTATGGCAGTTGGAAATTCTAGCATTCCTTTATCTACCCTGTTTGTCTTATTGTATTCAACTACAACTATCAAGCACCATGTAATAATGTAATAATTTTAAGGAACAACTGGAAACATTCTTGTTGAATTATGATACCAAGATTTTAATTTTTTTAGTACAGAAGAGGGGTGGAGTGATTCAGGGGCGAGGGATTCGAACTCATGAACTCTACTCATGAACTCTTGGTCAGAGATAGATGCCAATTACTAATGAGCTTAGCTCATGTATCAAGATTTTCTAAATAACCTATATAAAATATTATTACATTCATCATTTAGGAGGTAAGAAAAACCCTTCTTTTGAGATCCTCGTAGTTTAGGAGGGGAAACCCTTATGATGTAGAAGCAAACTCTCCTTTTGGCTTTCATATGACCTTGTTGATTCTTTACTACATTGAAAATACAGAGTTAGAGAAAAAAATGGAGGAAATAGAAGGAAATACTCTTATAATTTTCTAGGTGATGATTGTATTATGTCTATTTAGTTGCTTCAAAATATTGGGAATGTTGGTATACTAGTAGACTTTTATGTCTCCATACTCCGATTATCTTAACGAGTACTATTCTATTGACAGTACCGAGCTGATTACAATAATCACTGGAACGGAACCTACTATGGAGGGCAGGTGTATGGCGGATATGGATACGCCCTGCCGCTACCTTATGATCCACCAACCATGTATGCTGCCGCTGCATATGGAGCTTATCCTATGTATGGCACCCATCAACAGCAAGTGAACTGAATGTAAGGCAAGGCAGAGGAAAGGATCTTCGGTTCGAATACGAGGCAATTGTCCCGCTGGAAGCCTGGGGTGGGCAAATATTCTACGTTTTCTCTGTAGGATCACACTACTATCTATCATGGGCAAAGTTGCTTCATTTCTGAATGTTCAACTTTGTTCTCGAGGTTTTCTATAAATCCCTCCATCCGTGGAGCGGAACCGAATTTTGATGGACTTAGTTATGTAGAATATGATTTACTAACTATTCGTTTGAGACTGCGAGAACCAATAAGGAACTTAAATGTTTATTAGAATATATAATGTTATGGCTTGTAGCTTTAGTTAAGATTATTCTGCACTTACTATTCAACAGTGTAGCATGAGTTTGAAGCCTACCATAGTTGAGATTGTGGTTTGCTGTTTTGTCCTTGTCCTGTTATTTTGCTTGTTTTTGGGAGTTTTGAAATGCTTTTTTTAACCAGGTAACTCCAAAGAGAGAATCAAAAGCAATATCTCTCAAAAGGCTTTTGATGATCGTTTCTTGCAGGGTTTGGGAATTATCAAATGGTTTCCAAGTGATGGTATTTTGTGTCTACTCTATTGTTCTTGGGAAGAGGGATTTGATATTTTCCATTCTTGGAAGCAAAAATTATAGAGTGATCAAAGGTAGAGACTAGCAAAGCTTAATTTTGTTTTTAGAATTGTGATGATATTTAAAACAGGTTGGCTTTCGGTTGTTTGTTTTGCATAATGGTTTTTAAAATTATTATTTTGTGACTTGATGACTGCCAAGACTGTTATGCAATTATTTGAAAGTTTTAGATTTTTCTAAAAAAGAAAAGAAAAGAATAGAAAGGGCTATTCATAAAAAGAAATATAAAAAGTGACAATCTTTCGTAAAATAGAATTGAGTTTTTGAAACAAATGTTTTTAGATAAAGTATTTGTGTGTATGGTTGGGAGTAATTTTGGCTTCCCAAAAGTCACTTTTGATATTTTCTAAAATTTACTTGTATATCATGATAAAATATGACTAATATAGACATAATATTAGTAATATTCATTTTTTAGAAAGGGTGAAATGCTTCTTTGTTAATTTAAATATTTTTTACGATTTTTTTAATAACAAGATTTTCTAGAATATTCGTTGTTAAATTTCTTGTTTTTTCATGAAAAGACAAACATTTCCAACATCAACATTTAAAATCTTGGTTACGATATTTTATAATTATTGATGCGTAAATTTGGTTTGATCCGTTACAAAATATCACACCAAAGAGATTTGACTTTTACTTGCAAAGCAAAGGGGTTTTTACGTGGGCTAAATGTTAGGAGAAAGGGTCATTGGCCCGTCTTCACTAAATGGACCTATGCTACGTTGGTTCGTTGGGTTTATAGATCTGAGCTTCCGTTCTTTTTCTATAAATGGTCATGTCCTAGATCTTTATATCTTGTGATCTCCTAGACTTGGTCATACTTTGGATCTGATCATGCGTTGGACTTGGTTATACGTAGGATCTGATCCTACCTTGGACTTGGTTATGCTTTGGATTGGATCTCATACCTTACACTTGGTTATGCTCTGGATTTGGTCATACCTTAGACCTGGTTGGACCTTGGCCTGGTGAACTTGTAGCTTCCATGTCGGGTATAACTTAACAACAATGATATGCAAGTGATTTAAAAAAAATATATCAAAAATGATTTTTGATACTCTCAAACATGCCTTGAGTGAGTATAAGTTAAAAAGTACTTTTAGTCTTCACTGGTTGTAAAATAATTTTCTTTTTAATTAGTATGGTGATTTGAGTGAGATGTACCCTCAGCTGCTGTGTGTTTCTATTTAATTGTTAGTTTCAAAAACTTTCAAGCCCTCTTCGTTATAAATATCCACATTTTGTATCAGGCTATGGAAAGTTGTTTGTTTTTGTTTGGCAGTGCTACAGAAAAACCATGGATGAGCTTGTTAGTTACTGGGGATAATGTGATCCCAATTCTTATAGCTTTTCAAATTTAGTGGTCAACAAAGTCTCACGATACAAGATGGGTGTGGAAATTTTTACAAAGGGGCAAAATTTTGCTTTCTAACTGTGGATTAAAGCCTATTTGCCATTTATGTCTAATAAGGTAAATTAAAGTTATTCATGATAAATCAATTTAAACATAGTTCAGCTTATTAAAGTTCGATCCAATAATGTTGAGTTCAAATCCCTACTCCCATATTTTACTAAGAATAAAAAATTATTTGTAAAGGTGACAATTACGTTATGTGATGTGACAAATAAAAGATTGATCCAGGAGTTTGATAAAATATAGTTTTAACCCATTATTTTTTTTCCACAATTTGAAGTTTCTCTGTATACATGTTTGTTTGAATTTCTACCACAGTTGTTTATTTTAGATATTTGTAAGTTCCCATCCATCATGATATTAAATTTCTATTGACATAATATTTTCATATATCAATGGAGTTGAGAACGACAAATTGTCATTTTCTTAGTATTGAAAAAAAAATCAACAAAATATCACTAATATAAATATAATATTTATTTTAAAAAAGTAATATCAATGTAATATTAATATTAATAATTATTAACTTATTTAAAAAGTACGAAGTATTTATTTGTTGATTCAAATATTTGTCATGATTTTTTAAATTTCTTAAAAAATATCTATCTACATATATATTTTTATCGATATTTTCATTAACATGTTTAGAAAAATGATATCGAATATAAACCTTGCCATGAATTCTAGAAATGACATATATAGTTAAAAAGATAAAAACAATAAGGGAAACTTATAAAAAGTTAAAAAAAAAAGAAATTAAAATTAAAGGATAACAACTAAAAATTTAACTTAACCATATTATTTATATTTATTTAATTTTCAAAATTTTAGTAATTTATATTTAAAGAAATTCCTCAAAAAAA